TCGGCCTCCCAAAGTGCTGGGATTACAGGCATGGGCCATCACGCCCAGCCTATTTCGCTTATTTATGGGACCCCATTTAGCTCTTTTCTGCTCATTCCCAGGCCATGGAAGATAGAAGTGTCCTGCTGTCTGCAGACAGTTTTATCTGTAGCCACAGGAGTGCTCAAGAGTATATGAACCGTTAGTCATATAACTGTGCTTATTATGCTTCCTTCATGGCACAGGCCTGCAGCTCTAGATTCTGTCATGCTTCATTACCTCCTTCCTCCAGTGCCCTTCTTCATCTCCTCGTAAATGTCCTTGGCCGGGTATAGTGGCTCAGGCCTGTAATCCCAGTGCTTTGGGAGGCTGAGGCGGGAGGATCACTTCAGACCAGAGGTTTGAGACCAGCCTGGGTAACATAGTGAGATTCTGTCTCTACAAAAAAAAAAATATTAAAAATCAAAATTAGGCTGGGTGCAGTGGCTGAGCCTGTCATCCCAACACTTTGGGAGGCCAAGGTGGGCGCACCACGAGGTCAGGACCAGTCTAACCAACATGGTGAAACCCCATCTCTACTAAAAATACAAAAAAATTAGCCGGGCACAGTGGCGGGCACCTGTAGTCCCAGCTACTCAGGAGGCTGAGGCAGGAGAATGGCGTGAACCCGGGAGGCGGAGCTTGCAGTGAACTGAGATCGCACCACTGCACTCCAGCCTGGGCAAACAGGGTAAGACTCCATCTCAAAAAAAAAAATTCTTCTTCATCTCCTCAATATATTTACTGGATGAGTCAGCTTGTCAAAACCTGACCCTACTAATCAATTTTAACCTCATTTAAAATGGGACAGGTGGGCTGGGCATGGTGGCTCACGCCTGTAATCCCAGCACTTTGGGAGACCAAGGTGGGCAGATCATGAGGTCAGGAGGTTGAGACCAGCCTGGCCAACATGATAAAGCTCCGTCTCTACTAAAAATACAAAAAATTAGCCGTGCATGGTGGCATGCGCCTGTAGTCCCAGCTCTTCGGGAGACTGAGGCAGGAGAATTGCTTGAACCTGGGAGGCGGGGGTTGCAGTAAGCCAAGATTGCACCACTGCACTCCAGCCCGGGCGACAGAGTGAGACTCTGTCTCAAGAAAAAAAAAAAAAAAAAGGGACAGGAGACTGAGCACAGTGGCTCATACCTGTAATCCCAACACTGTGGGAGAACGAGAGGGTTAGATCACTTGAGGTCAGGAGTTCACAACCAGCCTGGCCAACATGGTGAAACCCCATCTCTATTAAAACTACAAAAATTAGGGGCCGGGCATGGTGGCTCACGCCTGCAATCCCAACACCTTGGGAGGCCGAGGCAGGTAGATCACCTGAGGTCAGGTGTTCAAAACCAGCCTGGCCAACATGGTGAAACCCCGTCTCTACTAAAGATACAAAAATTAGCCAGGAGTGGTGGCATGCGCCTGTAATCCCAGTTACTCTGGAGGCTGAGGCAGGAGAATCACTTGAACCCGGGAGGTGGAGGTTGCGGTGAGCCGAGATTGTGCCACTGCACTCCAGCCTGGGCGACAGAGTGAGACTATGTCTTAAAAAATAAGAAATAAAAAAATTAGCCAGGCGTGGTGGCATGCACCTGTAATCCCAGCTACTTGGGAGGCTGAGGCAGGAGAATCACTTGAACCTGGAAGGCGGAGGTTGTAGTGAGCCGAAATCATGCCACTGCACTCTGGCCTGGGCAACAGGGAGAGACTGCATCTCAGAAACCAAACAAAAAAACAAAACAAAGCATAACAAAAACAACAACAAAAAAATGGTAAAAGACAGGCACTGTGGCTCGACTTTTAATCCCAGCGCTTTGGAAGGCCAAGGTGGGAGGACTGCTTGAGCCCAGAAGTTTGAGACCAGCCTGGACAATATAGCAAGACCTCACCTCTACAAAAAATAATTTTTAACAAAAATAGCTTAGTATGGTGACATGTGCCTATAGTCCCAGTCACTTGGGAGGCTGAGGTGGGAGGATTGCTTGAGCTCAGGAATTTGAGGCAACAGTGAGCCATGATTGCACCACTGCACTCCAGCCTGGGTGACAGAGCAAGATTCTGTGTCTTAAAAAAATTGGAGGCCGGGCGCGGTGGCTCAAGCCTGTAATCCCAGCACTTTGGGAGGCCGAGACGGGCGGATCACGAGGTCAGGAGATCGAGACCATCCTGGCTAACACGGTGAAACCCCGTCTCTACTAAAAATTACAAAAAACTAGCCGGGTGAGGTGGCGGGTGCCTGTAGTCCCAGCTACTCGGGAGGCTGAGGCAGGAGAATGGCGTGAACCCGGGAGGCGGAGCTTGCAGTGAGCCGAGATCTGGCCACTGCACTCCAGCCTGGGTGACAGAGCAAGACTCCGTCTCAAAAAAAAAAAAAAAAAAAAATTGGGCCAGGCACAGTGGCCCACACCTATAATCCCAGCACTTTGGTAGGTCAAGGTGGGTGGATCACTTGAGTCCAGGAATTCAAGACCAGCCTGGACAACATAGTGAGACCCCATCTCTACAAAAAATAAAAAATTAGCTGGGTATGGTGGTGCACACCTTTAGTGCCAGCTACTTGGGAGGCTGAGGCAGGGGGATAGCTTGAGTTGGGAGGTCAAGGCTCCCGTGAGCTACGATTGCGCCACCACACTCCAACCTGGGTGACAGAGTGAGACCCTGTCTCAAATAATAAATAAAGGCATGTCCAGTCATTATGTGCCTCCTAATGGGATGCTACAGGAAGTACACACCACCATCCCTGATATATTAATGCCCTTCCCTCGAAAATGGAAGTCAGACCCCCAGATCTAACTGCTGTTTCACAGGGAATATGGAAATTAAGCACCTGTGAAACTACATCACGAAGATGCAATCCGTCAAATCCAGAAGGTGGGAACTCTACTAATTCAAATGTTTCTTTCTTTTTTTTTTTTGAGATGGAGTTTCGCTCTTGTTGCCCAGGCTGGAGTGCAGTGTTGTGATCTCGGCTCACTGAAGCCTCTGCCTCCCAGGTTCAAGCAATTCTCCTGCCTCAGCCTCCTGAGTAGCTGGGATTACAGGCATACACCACCACACCCAGCTAATTTTGTATTTTTAGTTGGTGAGGCTGGTCTCAAACTCCCAACCTCAGGTGATCCGCCCACCTCGGAGAAACCCCGTCTCTACTAAAAATACACAAAAATTAGCTGAATGTGGTGGTGGGTGCCTGTAATCCCAGCTACTTGGGAGGCTGAGGCAGGAGAATCGAACCCGGGAGTTGGAGGTTGCGGTGACCCAAGATCGTGCCTTTGCACTCCAGCCTGGGCAACAACAGTGAAACTCTGTCTCAAAAAAAAAAAAAAAATCACTTTTGGTAAGCACTGAATTTGTTAATTTAGAAAAATCACTGCTGGGCACAGTGGCTCACGCCTGTAATCCCAGCACTTTGGGAGGCCCAGGTGGAAGGATCACTTGAGCCCAGGAACTGAAGACCAGCCTGGGCAACATAGTGAGACCCTCCTCTCTACAAATAATATAAAGATTAGCTGGGCATGGTTGTGCACACAGACTGTGGTCCTAGCTACTTGGGAGGCTGAGATGGGAGGATTGTTTGAGCTGAGGTCGAGGCTGCAGTGAACCATGAACACACCACTGTACTCCAGCCTGGGTGACTGAGCAAGACCATGTCTCAGAAAAAAAAAAAAAAATTCGAGGCCAGGTGCACTGGCTCATGCTTATAATCCCAACACTTTGGGAGGCCAGGATCACTTGAGGGCAGATCACTTGAGGCCAGGAGTTTGAGACCAGCCTGGCCAACATGGAAGAACCTCGTCTCTACTAAAAATACAAAAAACATTTGCTGGGCGCGGTAGCGGGTGCCTATAACCCCAGCTACTTGGGAGGCTAAGGCAGGAGAATTGCTTGAACCTGGGAGGCAGAGGTTGCAGTGAGCCATTGTACTCCATTCTACTACACTGCACTCCACACACCACTGCACTCCAGCCTGAGCAACAGAGTGAGACTCGGTCTCAAAAAAAAAAAAAGAGGCCGGATGCGGCCTCACGCCTGTAATCCCAGCACTTTGGGAGGCCGAGGCGGGTGGATCACCTGAGGTCAGGAGTTTGAGACCAGCCTGACCAACATGGAGAAACCCTGTCTCTACTAAAAATACAAAATTAGCCAGATGTGGTGGTGCATGCCTGTAATCCCAGCTACTTGGGAGGCTGAGGCAGGAGAATCGCTTGAACTCAGGATGCAGAGGTTGTGGTGAGCTGAGATCGCGCCATTGCACTCTAGCCTGGGCAACAAGAGTGAAACTCCATCTCAAAAAAAAAAAAAATTGAGAACATTGGGGCAATTAGAACTTAATCTGTTGATTGGGAAATTATTGATACATTAATTAAGTATGATAATGATATTCTGAGTATTATGTGTTTTTCTTTTTTTTTTTTTTTTGAGATGGAGTCTTGCTCAGTTGCCCAGACTGGAGTGCAGTGGCACCATCTCGGCTCATTGCAAACTCCACCTCCCGAGTTCATGCCATTCTCCTGCCTCAGCCTCCCGAGTAGCTGGGACTACAGGTGCCCACCACCATGCCTGGCTAATTTTTTGTATTTTTCGTAGAGATGAGGTCTCACCGTGTTAGCCAGGATGGTCTTGATCTCCTGACCTCGTGATCCGCCCGCCTCAGCTTCCCAAAGTGCTGGGATTACAGGCGTGAGCCACCGCGCCCGGCTATTATATGTTTTTCTAAGAGAAGTCAATAATCTGTTGGATACTAAAGTATCTGTGGGTGAAGTATTATGATGTGTGGCATGTGAGATTTGCCTCACAGTACATGGGGAGTAAAAGATAGAAGGGAAGAGATGAAACAGGGTGCACCTTGTTAGCTGTTGAAGCAGACTGATGCATATAGGGGGTCATTACTGTATACTTTTGTACTTTTGTGCATTCTGAAAATTTTCATAATAAAAAGTGGAAAAACGTTTCTTAATATACCCAAATGTGTGGGTTTATTGTTTCAGGGACTGGTGACATTCAGGGACGTGGCTATAGAGTTCTCTCTGGAAGAATGGAAGTGCCTGGAACCTGCTCAGAGGGACTTGTACAGGGAGGTGACTCTGGAGAACTTTGGTCACTTGGCCTCACTAGGTAAGGAGATTGTATCGCACAGGCCAGACGGAAAGCAAGGCACTGGGGACTACAACCATGGGGTGCTGTTTCCATCTCTGCCTAAATGGGTGAGGAGAGGAAACTGTCACGGGAGATGCTACAAACTACAGCCATGGAGAGGGGACCAGCCAGCAATTGCTGTAGCTACTTCCAGAGCTCCTGGGTTAAAGGAGGGAGAGAGAGGGGTAAGAAATGCCCAGTGCTCGCTCTCCTCCCGTCCGCTGATCTCCAGCTGATGCTTTTTGTCTGCCAAAGCCAATGAGAACCCAGAGGGCATGGGTAATGCAGTTCTTACAGTGAGCTGTTGGGATCCCAGAGCCGGGCACAGAACAAGGCCAGGAGCATCAAGGAATAGATTGGAGGGGAAGGAGGAGTTCATGGAGAGTGGTCACCACACATCTACTCCACATAATTCAGGACTACCCTTCTGGAATTTCTGGTTTCTTCATTGTGAATTTCTAGGGTAACTTACAACTTTCTGACTGAATTTCTGGTGACTGAAAAATTGTTTTGTCCTTTGTGGAATTGGAAACAAGTCATTCCACTGGGCACCTAGGTCTTCCCATCCTTCAGACAACCTTCCGCCTGCCTTGTGATTGCGTCTTTTCCATGGTGACCAGGGAACTGGGTTTGGATTTTGGAGCAGTCTCATCACACCCCGTTTCTTTTCCTGTAAACAGGACTCTCCATTTCTAAGCCTGATGTCGTCTCCTTATTGGAGCAAGGGAAAGAGCCCTGGATGATTGCAAATGATGTGACAGGACCATGGTGCCCAGGTGAGCGAGGGCTGGTTTCGACAGGGGGAGGTCCCTGGGTGCGTCGACTGACAGGAGCAACTTGAGTTACTGTGGGAAGTTGCCTCAAAGCCCTACTGTGGAAGAAAGGCCTGAAATGTGAAGATGTGGCGAGTAAAGACCTTATTAGCATCAGCTCCCAAGAGAACCTTGGCCTACTCCCATTAATTCATCTCTCTTCTCTGTTCTCTCACATTTTCCTTCCTTTTTAAAAAGAGATGTACCTATTTCTTCCCCAGTGGCCACCTTTTTACCTGTACTTTGTATCCTTTTTTTTAGAGGCAGAATCTCACTCTGTCATCCATGCTGGAGTGCAGTGGCATGATCACAGCTCACTGCAGCCTCCATCTCCTGGGCTTAAGCGATCCTCCCACTTTGGGAGGCCAAAGTGAGATTACAGGTGTGAGCCACAGTACCCAGCCAGATCCTTTTTTCTACAAGTATCTTCATCCCTTAGAAAACTTATTTTCTTGACCAGGCATGGTGGCTCATGCGTGTAATCCCAGCACTTTGGGAGGCTGAGGTGGGTGTATCACCTGAGGTCAGGAGTTCAAGACCACCCAGGCCAACATGGTAAAATCCCGTCTCTACTAAAAGTACAAAAATTAGCTGGGCATGGTGGCGGGTGCCTGTAATTCCAGCTACTTGGGAGGCTGAGGCAGGAGAATCTCTTGAACCCGGGAGGCAGAGGTTGCAGTGAGCTGAGATTACGCCATTGCATTCCAGCCAGAGTGACAAAAGTGAAACTCTATCTCCAAAAACAAACCAAAAAAACATTTTCTTGGCTGGACACGGTGGCCCACACCTGTAATCTCAGCACTTTGGGAGGCCGAGGTGGGCAGATCACTTGAAGCCAGGAGTTCAAGACCAGCCTGGCCAACATGGTGAAACCCCATCTCTCCTAAAAATACAGAAATTAGCTGGGCATGGTGGCCGGTGCCTGTAACCCCAGCTACTCAGGAGGCTAAGGCAGGAGAATTGCTTGAACCCAGGAGACAGAGGTTGCAGTGAGCCGAGATTGTGCCACTGCACTCCAGCCTCTGCAACAGTAATTCAGCCATTCATTTATTCTCTTAACTTTTGAGCGGTAGGGTTGTGTAGTGGTTGAGGGCACAGACACTGGAGTCAGACTGCCTGAGTTCAAATCCTGGCTCTGCCACTTAGTAGCTCTGTGAGTTTGCATAAATTACTTAAATTCTCTGTGCTTCAGTTTCTTCCTTGGCAAATGGTATAAAAATATTGCCGTTAGGCTGGACGTGGTACCTCACCCCTGTAATCCCAGCACTTTGGGAGGCCAAGGTGGGCGGATCACTGGAGGTCGGGAGTTCAAGACCAGTTTGGCCAACATGGTAAAACTCCTTTTATATTTTGTAAAAATACAAAAATAAGCTGTGCATGGTGGCACACATCTGTGATCCCAGCTACTCTGGAGGCTGAGGCATGAGAATCGTTGAATCTGGGAGGAGGAGGTTGCAGTGAGCCGAGATCACACCATTACACTCCAGCCTGTACAACAGAGGGAGCCTCTGTCTCAAAAAAAAAAAAAAAAAAAAAAGAGTTGCTGTTATATGAAATATAGTGTGAAAGTACCCAGAAAGGCAATTGTGATGACTACGTAAATGTTAGTGAGTATTCTCGATTGCCACTTGGTGGACAGTATTGGAATCTGTGAATCCTGAATCACCAGTGACCCTTTCCTAACTTCTCCGCTATTGTTGTCTTTTTTATTTTTTTATTTTTATTTTTTTTGAGACGGAGTCTCGCTCTGTCGCCCAGGCTGAAGTGCAGTGGCCGGATCTCGGCTCATAAGCTCCGCCTCCTGGGTTCCCGCCATTCTCCTGCCTCAGCCTCCCGAGTAGCTGGGACTACAGGCGCCCGCCACCTCGCCCGGCTAGTTTTTTGTATTTTTTAGTAGAGACGGGGTTTCACTGTGTTAGCCAGGATGGTCTCAATCTCCTTACCTTGTGATCTGCCCACCTCGGCCTCCCAAAGTGCTGGGATTACAGGTGTGAGCCCCATGCCCAGCCTGTTGTTGTCATTTTTATTTTTCTTTCTTTTTTTTTTTTTTTTGAGACGGAGTCTGGCTCTGTCGCCCGGGCTAGAGTGCAGTGGCCGGATCTCAGCTCACTGCAAGCTCCGCCCCCCCGGGTTTACGCCATTCTCCTGCCTCAGCCTCCCGAGTAGCTAGGACTACAGGCGCCCGCCGCCTCGCCCGGCTAGTTCTTTGTATTTTTTAGTAGAGACGGGGTTTCACCGTGTTCGCCAGGATGGTCTCGATCTCCTGACCTCGTGATCCGCCCGTCTTGGCCTCCCAAAGTGCTGGGATTACAGGCTTGAGCCACCGCGCCCGGCCGTCATTTTTATTTTTCATCTGGGATCATTTTCTCTCTATCTAAAGAAGACTCTTAAAGTTTCCCTCAGTTTTTGGCCACACGAAAAGACTGGTTTTGTTTTTTTTTTTTTCTTTAAAAATGACATTTATCAGCCTGAACAGCATAGCAAGACCCCTTCTCCTTTTTTTTTTTTTTTTTTTTTTTTGAGACAGAGTCTCGCTCTGTCGCCCAGGCTGGAGTGCAGTAGCGCGATCTCGGTTCACTGCAAGCGCCGCCTCCCGGGTTCACGCCATTCTCCTGCCTCGGCCTCCCGAGTAGCTGGGACTACAGGCGCCCGCCACAGCACCCGGCTAATTTTTTGTATTTTTAGTAGAGACGGGGTTTCACTGTGTCAGCCAGGATGGTCTCGATCTCCTGACCTCATGATCCGCCTGCCTCGGCCTCCCAAAGTGCTGGGATTACAGGCGTGAGCCACCGCGCCCGGCTAGAAGACCCCTTCTCTACAAAAAATACAAAAATTAGCCAGGCAAGGTGGCACACACCTGTAGTCCCAGCTAATCAAGAGGCTGAGGCAGGAGAATCACTAGAGCCTGGTAGATCAAGGCTGCGGTGAGCTATGATCGTGCCACTGCGCTCCAGCCTGGGTGACAGAGCAACACTCCATTTCAAAATAAATAAATAAATAAAAATTTTTTGTTGTTTTTTTCTGAGACGGTATCTCACTCTGTCACCCACGCTGGAGTGCAGTGGTGCGATCTCAGCTCACTGCAGCCTCTGCCTCCCGGGTTCAAGTAATTCTCCTGTCTCAGCCTCCTGAGTAGCTAGGATTACAGGTGCACACTACCACGCCTGGCTAATTTTTGTATATTCGGTAGATATGGGGTTTCACTATGTTGGCCAGGCTGGTCTGAAACTCCTGAGCTCGAGTGACCTGCCCACCTCAGCCTCCCAAAGTGCTGGGATTACAGGCATGAGCCACCACACCCAGCCAGCTGATCCTCTTAATGAGTAGTTTTTTGTAAATTGTCTCTCACTTCGTGTTTGTCTAATGTTTTCTCACAGTGAGATTCTGCATTTTAGCAAGAATATCACAGAAGTGATGTTGTGTTCTTCTCTGTGTATCACATATCAAACATCAACATGCCATATTACTGGTGCTGTTCATTTTGATCACTTGGTAAGATAGGTGCTGTTCGCACTTTGGGAGGCCAAGGCGGGTGGATCACAAGGTCAGGAGTTCGAGACCAGCCTGGCCAATATGGTGAAACCCTGTCTCCACTAAAAATACAAAAATTAGCTGGGTGTGGTGGCGGGTGCCTGTAGTCCCAGCTACTCGGGAGTCTGAGGCAGGAGAATCGCTTGAACCCGGGAAGCAGAGGTTGCAGTGAGCCGAGATTGCGCCACTGTACTCCAGCTTGGGCAACAGAGTGAGACTCCGTCTCAGAAAAAAAAAAAAAAAAGATAGATGCTGTTCACTTTGATCACTTGGTAAATAGGGCCTCTCTTGTTTCTCACCTGTAAAGTTTCCATTTGTAATTGATAAATATCTTATGGCGAAATACTTCCACACTAGGCAAATGTGCTGCTTTTCCTCCTTCCACCCCCTGATTTTGGCATCCATCACTAGACCTTGTCTGCACCAGCTATTACTCTGTCACTTGCCTAATGTTGATTTTCTGTGTCCCTTATATCGTCACCATTTATTAATTGGAATTCTTTGGTAAGGAAGAGCTGTCCCTAGCCCTCTCCTATTCACTTATTTTTGTTTTGTTTTGTTTTTATTTTTGTTTTTGAGACGGAGTCTTGCTCTGTCGCCAGGCTGGAGTGCAGTGGTGCGACCTCTGCTCACTGCAAGCTCTGCCTCCCGGGTTCACGCCGTTCTCCTGCCTCAGCCTCCCGAGTAGCTATGACTACAGGCTCCCGCCACCACACCTGGCTAATTTTTTGTATATTTAGTAGAGACGGGGTTTTACCATGTTAGCCAGGATGGTCTTGATCTCCTGACCTTGTGATCCACCCACCTCAGCCTCCCAAAGTGCTGGGAGTACAGGCGTGAGCCACTTTTCCTGGCCTCCCATTCATTTATTCATTCAATGATTTCTTTATATCGCGATGAGTTCATGGGTATTTATTTTATTCTATGGGCTATAGTCACTACTTTCATGGTTTATTTCCTTGCTCCAATTGTTCAGGCTTTGGCCCTTGAGAACTCCTTAAGCTTGGCTCCTGGGTTCTCTCAACACGCCCTCATTCTCTTTTGTGTACTTCCATGTTTTCTGGTACCACAGCATGTTCCATGGTTATTTCAGATTTTTCTTGCCTCAGTCCTTAAATCAGCCAGTTCTCAAAAGAGTGCTGGCTCCTTTTATTGAAAAATGGTCCGGGAGGCAGAGGTTGCAGAGAGCTGAGATCGCCCCACTGCACTCCAGCCTGGGCAACAAGAACGAGACTCCATCTCAGGAAAAAAAAAAAAAAGAAAAATGGTAGGAAATCGTATCTTTGAAGTTTTTCTAAGCAAAGCAAGACCTTAAGATCTTTACCATCATTTACTTCCCTGTGCCCTAGACCAGGGGTTGGCAAACTGCAATCTGTGGGTCAAATAAATGCAGTCCATAACCAGTTTTTCATACAGCCCTAGAGCCAAGAACAGTTTTTTTTTTTTTTTTTTTTTTTTTTTTTTTTTTGAGACGGAGTCTCGCTCTGTCGCCCAGGCTGAAGTGCAGTGGCCGGATCTCGGCTCACTGCAAGCTCCGCCTCCCAGGTTCACGCCATTCTCCTGCCTCAGCCTCCCAAGTGGGACTACAGGCGCCTGCCACCTCGCCCGGCTAGTTTTTTGTATTTTTTAGTAGAGACGGGGTTTCACCATGTTAGCCAGGATGGTCTCGATCTCCTGACCTTGTGATCCACCCATCTCGGCCTCCCAAAGTGCTGGGATTACAGGCTTGAGCCACCGGGCCTCGGCCTCAGTTTTGGTATTTTGAAAGTGTTTAAAAAAAAAAAAGAATATGCTATGGAGACTTTATGTATTCCACAAACCCTAAAACATTTACCATCGGGCCCTTCACAGAAAAAGTTTGCTTTTATGGTTTTTTTTTGAGACAGAGCCTCACTCTGTTGCCCACGCTGAAGTGCAGTGGCACGATCTCAGCTCTTTGCAACCTCAGCCTCCCAGGTTCAAGTAATTTTCCAGTGTCAGCTTCCCAAGTTCCCAAGTAGTTGGGACTACAGGAGTGTGCCACCACACCCAGCTAATTTTTGTATTTTCAGTAGAGACAGGATTTCGCCAAGTTGGCCGGGCTGGTCTCAAACTCCTGACCTCAAGTGATCCACCCACCTAGGCCTCCCAAAGCTCCCAAAGTGCTGGAATTACAGGCATGAGTCACTGCACCTGGCCTTCCCACTTTCACTTCTAAGGACCCTTGTGAATACATTGTGTCCACCCAGATAAACCAGGATAATCTCGCCATCTCATGGTGGTCAACTGATTAGCTTTTTTTTTTTTTGAGATGGAGTTTCGTCTTTGTTGCCCAGGCTGGAGTGCAATGGTGAGATCTCTGCTCACCACAACCTCCACCTCCCGGGTTCAAGTGATTCTCCTGCCTCAGCCTCCTGAGTAGCTGGGATTACAGGCACCCACCACCACACCCAGCTAATTTTGTATTGTTGGTAGAGACGGGGTTTCTCCATGTTGGTCAGACTGATTTTGAACTCCTGACCTCAGGTGATCCACCCTCCTCGGCCACACAAAGTGCTGAGATTACAGGCATGAGCCACTGAGCCCTGCCCTAGTTAGCAATCTGAATTCGAACTCCCCTTGCTGTGTGACATACCACTCATAGGTTCCAGGAATAAAGACACAGACATCTTTGAGTGCCGTTATCCCACCTACCACATTCTGTGTGTGTTTTTTTGAGCAAAGTTAATTGAATATGCATAAATTAACAATGTATGGATGGGCGCAGTGGCACACGCCTGTAATCCCAGCACTTTGGGAGACCGATAGGCGGATTACTTGAGGTCAAGAGTTCGAGACCAGTCTGGCCAACATGGCAAAACCCCATCTCTACTAAAAATACAAAAATTAGCCAGGTGTGGTGGCAGGCACCTGTAATCCCAGCTACTCAGGGGGCTGAGACAAGAGAATCGCTTGAACCTGGGAGGCGGAGGTTGCAAGGAACAAGATCAATCGCGTGTCTTTACTCTAGCCTTGGTAACAGAACAAGATTCCATCTCAAAAACAAAACAAAACAAAAACAAGTTTATGCGTATGACTCTACTGTAATTCCATATTAAAATATTAAGCCTGCCGGGCGCGGTGGCTCAAGCCTGTAATCCCAGCACTTTGGGAGGGCGAGATGGGCAGATCACGAGGTCAGGAGATGGAGACCATCCTGGCTAACACGGTGAAACCCGTCTCTACTAAAAAATACAAAAGAAAAACTAGCCGGGCGAGGTGGCGGGCGCCTGTAGTCCCAGCTACTCGGGAGGCTGAGGCAGGAGAATGGCGTGAACCCGGGAGGCGGAACTTGCAGTGAGCCGAGATCCGGCCACTGCACTCCAGCCTGGGCGACAGAGCAAGACTCCGTCTCAAAAAATAAATAAATAAAAATAAAATATTAAGCCTATTGCTGTTGATTCCACAAAAGTGTTCTTGTCTTTCACAGAATATTTGCTTGTTGTGTTTTCTAATTCCTTGCAGTTCTGAAAGAATAACAATCTTTTATTAATTAGCTTTTTAAAAATTGGGATAAAATATACGTTACATAAGGGGCCGGGCGTGGTGGCTCATGCCTGTAATCCCAGCACTCTGGGAGGCCAAGGTGGGCAGATCGCCTGAGGTCAGGAGTTCCAGGCCAGCCTGGCCAACATGGTGAAACCCCGTCTCTACTAAAAATACAAAAATTACCCAGGCGTGGTGGTAGGCACCTGTAGTCCCAGCTACTCGGGAGGCTGAGGCAGGAGAATCGCTTGAACCCGGGAGGCGGAGGTTGCAGTCAGCTGAGATCACACCACTGCACTCCAGCCTGGGCGACAGAGTGAGACTCTGTCTCAAAAAAAAAAAAAAAAAAAAAAAGAGAGAGAGTGTGTGAGTTTTCATCTGAGACCTTAAGGATGAGAAAAGCAGCAAAAAGCCCAGGACAGGATTCTTGAGAGATGGAAGAACCTGATGAGAGATCTGAGATGGAAAAGGCCTAGATGTATTTTACATGCTCATAGATGGCTGGTGATTTTGTAGACCGGGAGGAAAGGGGAGAATATTCAATGTGATGAGGACCTGCTCTTGCTGAGACAGAGTGGTGACAGAAACAAGCAGGGACCTGCTTTGCCAAGAGCCCTGAGAGCCATGGCAGTGAGTTTGTAATTTTTTTTGTTTGTTTGTTTGAGACAGAGTTTTGCTCTGTCGCCCATGCTGGATTGCAGTGGTGCAGTCTCAGCTCACCACAACTTCTGCCTCCCGGATTCAAGTGATTCTCCTGCCTCAGCCTCCCAAGTGTTGGGATTACAGGCATGCGCCACCACGGCCGGCTAATTTTGTATTTTTAGTAGAGACGGTGTTTCTCCATACTGGTCAGGCTGATCTCGAACACCTGACCTCAGGTGATCCACCCACCTCGGTCTCCCAAAGTGCTGTGATTACAGACGTGAGCTACCGCACCCAGCTTCTTTTTTTTTTTTTTGGTTTTTTTTTCCTGAGATGGACTCTTACTCTGTCCCCCAGGCTGGCATGAAGTGGTGCCATCTTGGCTCACTGCAACCTCTGCCTCTTAGGTTCAAGTGATTCTTGTGTCTCGGTCTCCCAAGTAGCTGGGATTATAGGCACCTGCCACCATGCCTGCTAATTTTTGTATTTTTTAGTAGAGAAGGGTTTCTCCATGTTGTCCGGGCTGGTCTTGAACTCCTGACCTCAAGCGATCCACTTGCCTTGGACTCCCAAAGTGCTGGGATTAAGGCATGAGCCACTTTGCCTGGCCTTTGGAATTAATTCTAAATGCACCGAAATGGGAAGGCAGTGAAATGTTTAAGCAGAGATTTTCATTTTGATTGACATCAATTTTATGTGGAAATGGGAAGTGTTGAAAATATAGATGCCTTATTTACATGAAATGTCCAGAACAGGCAAATTTATAGAGACAAAATTAGTAGCTTTCTGCCAGTAATGGTTGCCAGGGACTGGAGGGAATAGGGAATGGGGAGCGACTGCTTAATGGGCAGGGGTTTCTATTTGGAGTGATACAAATGTTCTCCGCCAGGGGAGGTGGCTCACACCTGTAATCTCAGCACTTTGGGAGGCCAGGGCGGGTAGATTGTTTGAGGTCAGGAGTTCGAGACCAGCCTGGCCAATATGGTGAAAGCCCATCTCTACTAAAAATACAAAAATTAGCCGGGAGTGGTGGCGCATGCCTGTAATCCCAGCTACTCAGGAGGCTGAGGCAGGAGAATCACTTGAACCCAAGAGGCGGAGGTTGCAGTAAGCCAAGATTGTACCAATGCACTCCAGCCTGGGAGACAGAGCAAGACTCTGTCTCAAAACAGAAAACAAATTGAGAACCCCTGGCTTAATCTGTCTTCTTGCTCCCTTCTGGCACCGTGTGAGCTCTTCACATAGTGTGCTTTCATGTACTTTTTTGAAATTGTATAATATTTGAGATGTATATAAGCCATTCACTTTCTATGGTGGTTATTATTTTTTTTTCTGAGACGGAGTCTTGCTCTGTCACCCAGGTTGGAGTGCAGTGGCGTGATCTTGGCTCAACCTCTGCCTCCCGGGTTCAAGCGATTCTCCTGCCTTAGCCTCCCCAGTAGCTGGGATTACAGGCGCCCACCACCATGTCCGGCTAATTTTTGTATCTTTAATAGAAATGGGGTTTCACCGTCTTGGCCAGGTGAACTCCCGACCTTGTGATCCACCTGCCTCAGCCTCCCAAAGTGCTGGGATTACAGATGTGAGCCACCGCACCCGGCCTCTATAGAATTTTTTATTTCTCATAGAAAAGGAGCACAGCTTGTATTTATCTTTTTCTTATTTTTCAGACTTGGAGTCCAGGTGTGAGAAATTTTTACAAAAAGATATTTTTGAAATCGGGGCATTCAACTGGGAGATAATGGAAAGCCTTACATGCTGTGACCTGGAGGGCTCCGATTTTAGAGCTGACTGGGAATGCGAAGGCCAGTTTGAGAGACAAGTCAATGAAGAGTGCTATTTTAAGCAAGTGAACGTCGCCTATGGACATATGCCCGCATTCCAGCATCACAGGTCTCACACTGGGAGCAGGGAGACTGGTGAGAAACTGATGGAATGTCGGGAATGCGGGAAAGCATTTAGCCGCGGCTCACACCTTATTCAACATCAGAAAACTCACACTGGTGAAAAACCCTTCGGGTGTAAGGAATGTGGGAAGGCCTTCAGCCGTGCCTCACACCTTGTTCAGCATCAGAGAATTCACACAGGTGAGAAACCTTATGACTGTAAGGACTGTGGGAAGGCCTTCGGTCGTACGTCAGAACTTATTCTGCATCAGAGACTTCATACTGGTGTCAAACCTTATGAATGCAAAGAATGTGGGAAGAGCTTTAGGCAGCATTCCCAGCTGATTCTGCATCAAAGAACTCACACAGGGGAAAAACCCTATGTATGTAAAGACTGTGGCAAGGCTTTCATTCGTGGCTCCCAACTCACTGTGCATCGGAGAATCCACACGGGCGCCAGACCCTATGAGTGTAAAGAATGCGGGAAAGCCTTTAGACAGCATTCCCAGCTGACCGTCCACCAGCGCATCCACACTGGTGAGAAACCCTACGAGTGTAAGGAATGCGGAAAGGGCTTTATTCACAGCTCAGAAGTTACTCGACATCAAAGAATTCATTCTGGGGAGAAACCCTATGAGTGTAAGGAATGTGGGAAGGCCTTTAGACAGCACGCCCAGCTCACACGACATCAGAGAGTCCACACTGGCGACAGACCCTATGAATGTAAGGACTGCGGGAAGGCATTCAGTCGTAGCTCATACCTCATTCAACATCAAAGAATTCATACAGGCGACAAACCCTACGAATGTAAGGAATGCGGGAAGGCCTTTATTCGTGTTTCACAACTGACTCACCATCAGCGAATCCACACTTGCGAGAAACCCTATGAATGCAGGGAGTGTGGAATGGCCTTTATTCGTAGTTCACAACTTACCGAACATCAGAGAATTCATCCCGGTATCAAACCTTACGAATGTAGAGAGTGTGGCCAGGCATTTATTCTTGGTTCACAACTCATTGAACACTACAGAATTCATACTGGTTAGAAAGCCTCGAGTGTGAGTGATAAAGAGAAGCTTTTATGTGGAGTTCACATCTGGCTCAGTACTAGGTAATTTTTAATGTAGTGTAATTAATGTCAGAAAACACCTGTCACTTCCATGATAGAACATGAGAAAACTCACACCCAAAGAAAATTCAATAAATGTGGGAATTCTTTTTGCCTCACTCAGTGTTTCCTAAGCATCAGATAATCTGTGCTAAAAAAAAAAAAAAAAAAAAAAAAGGAATACAGAAAAGCTGCTTCTTGCCATTCAAAATATGTTAAGTTTCTGAGAATTTCTAACACAAAATGACCCTATTAAAAGATTCTGTGGCCAGGCACGGTGGCTCACACCTGTAATCCCAGCGCTTTCGGAGGTCGAGGCTGGCAGATCATTTGAGGTCAGGAGTTTGATACCAGCCTGGCCAATGTGGTGAAACCCTGTATCTACTAAAAATACAAAAATTAGCCAGGCATGGTGGCAGGTGCCTATAATCCCAGCTACTCAGGAGGCTGAGGCAGGAAAATCATTTGAACCCAGGAGGCGGAGGTTGCAACAAGCCGAGATCACACCATTGCATTCCAGCCTGGGTGACCAGGGCAAAACTCTGTCTCAAAAAAAAAAAAAAAGATTCTGTGACTGTGCCTTTCATCATGGCATATACCTTACTTAGCAGTGCTCACTTCCCCTGATTATGGACTACATAGCATAATTGGGCAAGTTATGCAATCTCTTTGTCCCTCAGTTTACTTTTTTTTTTGGTGAGACAAAGTCTAGCTCTGTCACCAGGTTGGAGTGCAGTGTTGCGATCTCAGCTCACTGCAAACTCTGCCTCCTGGGTTCAAGCGATTCTTCTGCCTCAGCCTCCTAAGTAGCTGGGATTACAGGCACGCGCTGCCACGCCCAGCTAATTTTTGTATTTTTAGTAGAGATGGGGTTTCACCATGTTGGCCAGGATGGTCTTGATCTCCTGACCTCATGATCTGCCCACCTTGGCCTCCCAAAGTGCTGGGATTACAGGCGTGAGCCACCGCGCCTGACCCAGTTTACTTATTTTTAAGTGGTGATTATTATGCCTAACTAATAGAATTTTTATGAGGACTAAATTAGATATTTTATGTAAAGCCTTAGAAGTAATACCTGGCACACACACGTGCTCAGTAAATATTAGCTATTGTCATTAATTTTATTATCAGTATCACTGATAAGGAGTTTATATGAGGGGAGAGGCTTATGAATGTATCACATATCCAAAAGTCTTCATGACCAGTTGTTATGATCATTTATTCTGAAAAATAGTGGGAAAGCATAATTATTATGAGGCCTTCAATCAAAAGGTTAGAAATTCAGAAGATTAGAAATTAACAGAAGAGTGGCCTGGTAAGGTGGCTCACACCTGTAATCTCAGCACTTTGGGAGGCTGAGGCAGGCGGATCACTTGAGGTCAGGAGTTTGAGACCAGCCTGGCCAACATGGTGAAACCCCGTCTCTACTAAAAATACACAAATTAGCCAGGTGCAGTGGTGCATGCCTGTAATCCCAGCACTTTGGGAGGCTGAGGCGGGTGGATCACCTGAGGTCAGGAGTTCAAGACCAGTTTGACCAACATGGCAAAACCTCTCTACTAAAAAATACAAAAGTTAGCCAGGTGTGGTGGCGCGTGCCCGTAGTCCTTGAGGCTAAAGCATGAGAGGCTTGAGACTCCATCTGTACTAAAAGTACAAAAATTAGCTGAGAGTGGTGGTATGCACCTGTAATCCCAGCTGCTTGGGAGGCTGAGACAGGAGAATTGCTTGAACTCAGGATATGGAGGTTGCAGTGAGCCGAGACTACACCATTGCACTCTAGCCTGGGCAACAAGAGAGAAACTACATCCCTCCACCTCCCAAAAAAATTAGGCGTGATGGTGCACGGCCGTAGTCCCAGCTACTCGGGAGGCTGAGGCAGGAGAATCGCTTGAACCTAGGAGGTGAAAGTTGCAGTAAGCCGAGATCATGCCACAGCACTCCAGCCTGGGCGACAGAGCAAGAATGAGTCTAAAAAGAAAAAAAAAAAAGGCAGCAGCAGCTAATTTTAAATGAAATGTCTGAAACTTTACGTCCTGAATTAATGATGATTTCAGACTGTTGATACTTTGTCCCCATGACATCACAATGATGGGGAATAGAGCCTCGATCCAAAGTGAAATCTGGATCAGGGTTTGCCAATGAGTCTGGAATCTCAAGAAACTGATCCCCTTAGCTCTTGGGGTAGCCAGCCAATGTCTGGGGCAGGGGCCAGCTGCACTTTGATACCAGCTGTCTTACCAATTGTCTGTATGTGCTGTGGCCTATAAAAAGTTAGAAAGCAATGTTCTGTATGTCATTTTCCCTTAAGTTGTTTAATGATTAAAATGTTCTTTCGGAGGGGCTCAAAGCTATGACATGAAAAATTGTCACTCTAAGGTCAGGCATGGTGGCTCACGCCTGTAATCCCAGCACTTTGGGAGGCCGAGGTGGGTGGATCATTTGAGGTCAGGAGTTCAAACCAGCTTGGCCAACATGGTGAAACCCCTTCTACTAAAAATACAAAAATTAGGCGTGGTGGCGCACGCCTGTAATCCCAGCTACTCGGGAGGCTGAGGCAGGAGAATTGCTTGAGCCTGGGAAGCGGAGGTTGCAGTGAACTGAGATCATGCTACTGTACTCCAATCTGGGTGACAGAGTGAGACCCTGTCTCAAAAAAAAAAAAAAAAATTGTCACTCTGAATAGTTAAAGCACAGTCACAGGATAAAATTGTTAAAGTTACAATTTGTTGTTGTTGGGTTTTTTTGCTTTGTTTGTTTTTTGAGACCGAGTCTCACCCAGGCTGGAGTACAGTGGTTTGATCTCAGCTCACTGCAACCTCTGCCTCCCGGATTCAAGCAATTCTTCTGCCTCAGCCTCCCAAGTAGCTGGGATCACAGGCGCCCACCATCACGCCCAGCTAATTTTTGTATTTTTAGTAGAGCCAGGGTTTCACCATGTCGCCCACACTGGTCTCAAACTCCTTGACCTCAAGTGATCTGCCCACCTCGGCCTCCCAAAGGGCTGAGTTTAAGGCATGAGCCACTTCCTGGCCTAAAGTTACGATATGGTATGCAGACATAAGTGAATCTTCACACAATAGCGCTATGCCTTTCCCACCCCATTACCTTTTATGGAACAATCACTAACACCGAGTTCTTGTATATAGTTTCTGATTTTTAATTTGCATAAACATGTAATCCCAGCATTTTGGGAGGCCGAGGAAAGCAGATCACTTGAGGTCAGGAGTTCGAGACCAGCCTGGCCAACATGGTGAAGCCTTGTCTTAACTAAAAAATACAAAAATTAGCCAGGTGTGGTGGCTCATGTCTGTAGTTCTAGCTACTTGGTAGGCTGAGGCATGAGAATCACTTGAACCCAGAAGGCAGAGGCTGCAGTGAACCAATATCCTGCCACTGCACTCCAGCCTGGGTGACGGAGTGGAGACGCCATCTGAATAATAATTATTATTAATATTTGCATAAGCATAATGTACTCTTTATACAGATATTTTACACAAGTGATAGCAAATTTCAACACATTGCTATTTTTGCTTATGCATACGTCTTGAAGATTAGACCATATTGGTACATATATAGCTGCCTCATTTTTTTTAAACAACTCCTTAGGATTCCATCATCTGTGTGTTTCATAATTTATTTAACATTATCAATTTTTTTTTTTGAGACGGAGTCTCACTCTGTGACCCAGGTTGGAATGCAGTGGCGTGATCTCAGCTTACTGCAACCTCCACCTCCCAGGTTCAAGCGATTGTCCTGCCTCAGCCTCCCAAGTAGCTGAGACTGCAGGTGCGAGCCACCATGCCCGGCTAATTTTTGTGTTTTTAGTAGAGACGGGGTTTCACCATGTTGGCCAGGCTGATCTCCAACTCCTGACCTCAGGTAATCTGCCAGCCTTGGCCTCCCAAAGTGCTAGGATTACAGGCGTGAGCCACCTCATACGGCCATTTTTTTTTTTTTTTGAGACAGAGTTTCACTCTGTTGCCCACGCTGGAGTGCAGTGGCATGACCTTGGCTCACTGCAACCTCTGCCTCCTGGGTTCAAGAAATTCTGCTGCCTCAGCCTCCTGAGTAGCTGGAATTACAGGCACCTGCTACCACGCCTGGCTCATTTTTGTATTTTTAGTAGTGACGGGGTTTCACTATGTTGGCCAGGCTGGTCTCAAACTCCTGACCTCAAGTGATCCACCCACCTTGGCCTCTCAAAAGTGCTGGGATTACAGGCATGAGCCACACTGTGCCCAGACTTTCCATTATTTTTTGTTCTTTCAAACAATCCCATAATATTTCCCTTGCACATATTTTGTACATGTGTAATATATCTTTAAGGTAAACTCCTAGAAGTAGAAATGCTAGATAAAAATGTAAATTTTTGGCCAGGCGCAGTGGGTCACACCTGTAATCCCAGCACTTTGGGAGGCTGAGGCGGGGGCGGGGGGGGGGGTGGGGATCACAAGGTCAAGAGATAAAGACTGTCCTGGCCAACATGGTGAAACCTCATCTCTTCCAAAAATACAAAAAATTAGCTAGTGACAGCGAGATTCCATCTCAAGAAAAAAAAAAAAAAAGTAACTTTTTAAAACTTTCTGTCATAAAAAAATTTGAACATGTACAAAAATACACAGAATCTTATAATGAACCCCAGCAGCCTCATCACCAGCTTCAAGAATTATCAGCTCATGGCCAGGCTTGCTTTGTCTGTATATCTGCTTCTCTCATCTTTGTGTTATTTTTGAAGTTAATACCAGATGTATGATTTCATCCATAAACATTTCATACATTTCTCTAAAACACATGACAACATTAGAAAATATTTTCACTCCTTAAAAAAAAAAAAAATAGGCCTGGCGCAGTAGCTCATGCCTGTAATCCCAGCACTTTGGGAAGCCGAGGTGGGCACATCACCTGAGGTCAGGAGCTCGAGACCAGCCCGACTCTACTAAAATACAAAAATTAGCCAGCCGTGGTGGTGGGCGCCTATAATCCGAGCTACCCGGGAGGCCAAGACAGGAGAATCCCTCGAACACAGGAGGCGGAGGTTGCAGTGAGCTGAGATTGCACCATTGCACTCCAGCCTGGGCAACAACAGCAAAACTGCATCTCAAAAGAAAAAAAAATGATGTTACCACCTTAATGCCATTACATGTATGATAGTGTTCAAATTTTTGTTTCATAAATGTCAGTTTTAGAAAAAATTACCAGGATCCAAATGATGTTCTCAAATTGCAGTTGATATGTCTCTTCTCAATCTATTATACTCAATCTATTCTCCCTTACTGGGTTTTTTTGCAACTTCTTGTTTTTTGAAGAAACTAGGTAATTTGCCTCATAGAGCTTCTCCAAGTCTGGTTTTTGCTGGCTGCATCTGCATGGTGTAGTTTAACATGCTCTTCTATTCCTAGTATTTCCTGTAAATTGGTAGTTGAGATTTAGAGGACTGGTCAGATTGAGGTTCTTTTTTTGTTAAGATTATTTATAAGTGGTTAATATTAGGAGCCATAATATTTAGGTGTTGCTGTTTTTGTGATGTTGGCAACCATTGATGTTTAATTGATAAATCTGTTCATTAGAGGTTGCAAAATGGTGATATCTTATTATTCATTCTTTCCTTATTAGCTAGAATATTCTTATAAAGAAAAAATTTCTGGCCTGGAGCAGTGGCTCACACCTGTGATTCCAGCACTTTCGGAGGCCGAGGCAGGTGGATCACTTGAGGTCAGGAGTTTGAGACCAACCTGACCAACATGGTGAAACCCCATCTCTACTAAAAATACAAAATTAGCTGGGTATGGTGGCGCACGCCTATAATCCCAGCTACTTGGGAGGCTGAGGCAGGAGAATCACTTGAACCTGGGAGGCAGAGTTTGCAGTGAGCTGAGATCGTGCCATTGCACTCTAGCCTGGGCAACAAGAGTGAAACTCCGTCTGAAAAAAAAAAAAAAAGAAAGAAAGAAAAAAAGAAACACTTTCCTTCAGCTACTATTTAGTACCCAATGATACAGTAAAGAAACACAGCAGGCCGGGCGTTTTGGCTCACGCCTGTAATCCTAGCACTTTGGGAGGCCAAGGTGGGCGGATTGCCTGAGCTCAGGAGTTCCAGACCAGCCTAGGCAACACGGCCATCTCAATTAAAATACAAAAACTTAGCCAGGCTTGGTGGTGTGCGCCTGTAGTCCCAGCTACTCAGGAGGCTGAGTCAGGAGAATTGCTTGAACCTGGGAGGCAGAGGTTGCAGTGAGCCAAGATCGCACCACTGCACTCCAGCCTGGGTGACAGAGCAAGACTCCTCCAAAAAAAAAAAAAAAAAAAAAAAGGGAAAAGAAAAGAAATGCAGGATAAATGCTTCTTTCTCTTTCTTGGTTTTCATAATAATGAATTGAGGCCAGGCAGGGTGGTTCATGCCTGTAATCTCAGCACTTTGAGAGGCCGAGGCAGGCAGATCACTTGAGGTCACTAAAAATGCAAAAATTAGCCGGGCAGGGTGGCACATGCCTGAAATCCTAGCTACTCGGGAGGCTGAAGCAGGAGAATTGCCTGAACCCAAGAGGCGGAGGTTGCAGTGAGCCGAGATTGCGCCACTGCACTCCAGCCTAGGTGACAAGAGAGAAACTCTGTCTCAGAAATAATAATAATAATGAATTGGTTTCCCCAGCATTCTGCCATGGTAGCTGATGAATTTAGATGCAGGGGTGTGTGTTTGTGTGTGTGATGTTTAATGCGTTTCAGTTCATTTAAGTTGCACCCTCAGTGATGCTCAAATGCCTCCATGTTGGGTGTGGAAGAGCCTCTTCCAGCTGGCTCCTGTGTCCTTTTGCTATGACCCAGTCATCTTTGATCATTTGCCTGTTGTCTGCCACCACGAGATGTTCCAAGCTCATCTTGTTCATTTCCTGTCTCTCACCTTTAAGTCGCCATTTTCCAAGGAGCCCTCTTCTTTCCTTTTGGAATTTTGGTACTTTCCCAAATGGTATTTGGAAACCACAATCAGGTTGTTAGGAGTGCTTCCTGCTCCTGGTTGGCCATGTTTATGTTTATTTAAGCCCTGGCTAACCTTATCCAGCATTAGCGACGGGATACAAGTCAGATCGACCACGGTGACCGTCTTATAAAATACAAATAGCCGCGAGTGGCGCCTGTAGTCCAGCTACTCGGAGCTGGGCAGGAATGCTGAACCAGGAGGCGGAGCTTGCAGTGGCCAGGATCGCGCCACTGCACTCCAGCTTGGGCGACAGAGCAAGATTCCGTCTCAAAAAAAAAAAAAAAAAAGATGTGTATATATTTTCAGCCATTCTATAGACATTGCTCAAGTGCCTTCAGGAAGATTATGCACCTGTGTGTCTCCCTTCTGTAGAAGAGATCCCAAAGCCATGCTCATCCAGTCCTGGAGAATCATTTAATTTTGAACATAGACCATTGAACAGCTGAAAAATGGAAAAGTCACTTTTGTTTACATTTGCATTCCTTCAATAATGATAAAGTTACCATTTGTTCGCATATTTGTTGACCATCGGAATTGATTTTAGCACAGTGCCTGAAACATAGTAGGTGCTCAATAAATATTTGTTAATTGAATAAATTACTTGTATGTTCATATCATTTGTTCATTTAATATGGGGAGGGGTCATTTTTTTTTTTACTTAAAAGAGCTATTTTTTGAAAGGATTACATGTGTATAAAGTTCCTAGCACCATGCCTGATGCATGCATTGCCATTTATGTCTCTGGTGACTGGCTTTTTTTTTTTTTCTACTTTAAGAGAGAAGGGACCGGGTGCGGTGACTCACACCTGTAATCCCAGCCCTTTGGGAGGCTGAGGTGGGCGGATCACCTGAGGTCAGGAGTTCAAGACCAGCCTGGCCAACATGGTAAAACCCTGTCTCTACTAAAAATTCAGAATTAGCCAGGGGTAGTGGCGTGCACCTGTAATCCCACCTTCTCGGGAGGCTGAGGCAAGAGAATCACTTGAACCTGGGAAGCGGAAGCTGCAGTGAGCCAAGATCGCAGCACTGCACTCCAGCCTGGGTGACAGAGCGAGACTCTATCTTAAAAAAAAAAAAAGGAAAAAGAATAATAAGGAGGCCAGGTGTGGTGTCTCATTCCTATAATCCCAGCATTTTGGGAGGGGCCAGTGGAAGGATCACTTGAGGCCAGGAGTTGAGACCAACCTGGGCAACATAGCAAGACACTATCTCCAAAAAATTTAAAAATTGGCCAGGTGTAGTGGCACACCTGTAGTCCCAGCAGTACTCAGGAGGCTGAGGAGGGAGGATCACTTGAGCCCAGGAGTTTAAAGCTGCTGTAAGCTATGATCCTGTCTCTTGCACTCCAACCTGGGCAAGAGACCCTGTCTCAAAAAAAAAAAAAAAAGAGAGAGAAAGAGATAAGGAATTTGGCCAGGCATGATAGCTTATGTCTGTAATCCCAGCACTTTGGGAGGCTGAGGTAGGCAAATAGCTTGAGCCCAGGAGTTCAAGACCAGCGTGGGCAACACAGTAAAACCTCATCTCTACAAAAAATACAAAAATTAGCCAGACGTGCTGGTATGCACCTGTAGTCCCAGCAACTCAGGAGGCTGAGGCGGGAGGACTGCTTGAAACCAGAAGGCTGAGATTGCACCACTGCATTTCAGCCTGGGCAACAGACCAAGAACGTCTCAAAAAAAAAATAAATATATATATATATATGTGTGTGTGTGTGTGTGTGTGTGTGTGTGTATGTGCAGCTGTGCTTCTGCAAGAAGGGCCTAGACTCACCACGTCTTGAGAAGAGAATGGCCACTTCATGGGGTGTAACTTTTTCATGCTGATGGTAACCTGTGTTTGCAGCAGGCTGGGTTTATCTTCCTGTCTTCCATGCACTCCATCGAAGTCAGAGTCCGGGCCTTGTGTGGAATTCTGTTGGATGCAGAAAGCACTGGAACTTGAATCTATGTTTACACTTTCGTGCAGAAAACACCAGAACAGCTTCCAATTCTGGAAGGGACATTTTTGGTTCAGTGAAGCCAGGACTTTCTGCTTTGATCATTCAACCTAAGCAGCGAGCCGAGACTGTTCAAGGACTCTTAGAGGTGGCCAAAGACGCAATCCCCTAAAGTGACTGGAACAGGACCCCAGTGGTCTTGAAGGCAACTGAAGGCAACGATAGACCTGTGCTTACTCCCAGAATGGAAGAGCCAGGCTCTGTTCTTTGAGGTAAGGGAGAGCTTCAAGATGTCACATTTGGGCACATGCGGTGGCTCACACCAGTAATCCCAGCACTTTAGGAGGCTGAGCCAGGCAGATCACCTGAGGTCAGGAGTTCGAGACCAGCCAGCCAACATGGCGAAACCCTGTCTCTACTAAAAATACAAAAATTAGCCGAGAATGGTGACACACACATTTAAAATTCTAGCTACTCAGGATGCTGAAGCACAAGAATTGTTTGACCCAGGAGGCAGAGGTTGCAGTGAGCCAAGATTGAAACACTGTGTTCCAGCCTGGGTAATGGAGTGAGACTGTCTAAAAAAAAAAAAAAAAGTAGAAGAAGAAGTAGTCATATTTGACCAGGCACAGTGGCTCACACCTGTAATCTCAGCACTTTAGGAGGCCGAGACAGGAGGATCACTTGAGCCTGGGAGTTTAAGACCAGCCTGGGCAACATAGTGAGATCCCCATATCTACAAAAGTAAAAATAAAAAAATTAGCTAGGCATGGTGATGCGCACCTGTAGTCCAAGTTACTAGGGAGGCTGAGCTGGGAAGATCCCTTGAGCCTGGACATCAAGGCTGCAGTGAGCTATGATCGCACCACTAAACTCCAGCCTGGAGAACAGAGCAAAACCCTATCTCAAAAAAAAAAAAAAAAAAAAAAAATCCTCCTGCCTCAGCCTCCTGAGTGGCTGGGACTATAGTCATGTGCCACTATGCCTGGAACAGTATTTATTGATTCTGATTTGAACAAATAATATATTTATGTTTTGAACAAACAAAAAATATACATGACCCAATGGAAAAAAAATGGGTATCGAACCCTGACTGGATATTTAGTTGTGTTAAGGAATTCTTGTTAACTGCTTTGGTGTGATATGGAGTTGTCTCTTAGAGATACAATTTGAAGTATTCATAGATGAAAGGATATGATGATGGCCTTGGCTTTGATTTAAAAATCCATTGAGGGGAAAAGGTGGGTGAGGTGTAGATGAGGCAAGTTTGCTGAGGCTCGGTGATAGGAACGGGGAGTTCATTATTCTACTTGCTGTGTTTTTGTGTGTTTGACATTTCCCATGATTACGAACTGAAATATATTTCCTGAGCACCTACTGTGTGCCAGGCACTGTTCCAGACACTGGAGATCACCAGGGAACAAGACTGAAAAACTCCATGCATTCATGTAGCTTAGATGCTGGTGGGATCATAATCTTTTATTTTTTATTTTTGAGACAGGGTCTCACTTTACTATGCAGGGTGGAGTGCAGTGGTGCAATCCTGGCTCACTGCAACCTCCGCCTCTCAGGCTTAAGTGATTCTCCCACCTCAGCCTTTCCCAGTAGCTGGGACCACAGGCGTGGGCCACCACACTCAGCTAATTTTTTTATTTTTATTTTTGTTGAAAAGGGATCTCACTATATTCCCTAAGCTGGTCTCCAATTCCTGGCCTTCAGTGGCCCTCCTGCCTCAGCCTCCCAAAGTGCTGGGATTACAGGTGTGAGCCACCTCACCTGGCCAGGAACAAATTATCCTTTTATTACTGGGAAAGGCTGGGCATGTTTTGGGGGGTGTTCTTGTTGTTGTTGGTCGTGTATATGTGTGTTGTTTGCTTTTGTATATACATGAACTTTTTCCAGACGGATACACAAGAAACAAATAAGTGGCAGTGCATGACGGCCCACGCCTGTAATCCCAGCACTTTGGGAGGCCAAGGCAGGCAGAAAACCTGAGGTCAGGGGTTCAAGACCAGCCTGACCAACATGGTAAAACTTCCTTCTCTACTAAAAATACAAAAAAAAAAAAAAAAAAAAAAATTAGCCGGGCATTGTGGTACACACCTGTAATCCCAGCTGCTCAGGAGGCTGAGGCAGGAGAATCGCTTGAACCCGGGAGGCAGAGGTTGCAGTGAGTCGAGATCGCGCCACTGCACTCCAGCCTAGGCAACAGAGTGGGACTCTGTCTCACAAAAAAAAAAGAAAGAAAAAGAAACAACATAGAATAGTTTCCCCGGAAAGAAACCTAGAGTCCCCAGGGAGAGGAATACCCTGTTTATCCTCATGAATTTTAAACCATGTGACTTTATCATCTATTCAGCAACTGGGAGAATAAAAGCTAAAAATTTTGAAAAGTAAGGTCTAAAACATCAAGAATGGTTAGAGTATGGGAAGGTCCAGGTGGAAACGGCGGTTGTTTCTGTACTCGCCACAAGATGGCAGCAGAGCGGCACCGAAGCCAAGTTCTGGACCCCGAAGGCCGCCCAAGGGCAGGCCCGGTTCCCAATCACAACCCGCAACTCCTGCGGGCTTCCCACCCGCTGTGTGAACCATCCACCCATTCTCCACCCACGGAAACTGAGATAATAAATACGTATTGTTTTGAACTGTGTAGCCGGGCACTGTGGCTCACGCCTGTAATCCCAGCACTTTGGGAGGCTGAGGCTGGCGGATCACCTGAATTCAGGAGTTCGAGACCAGCCTGGTCACGGTGGCAAAACCCCATCTCTACTAAAAATACAAAAATTAGCCAGGCGTGGTTGCAGGCGCCTGTAATCTCCGCTACTTGGGAGGCTGAGGCAGGAGAATCTCTTGAACCTGGGAGGCGGAGGTTGCAGTGAGCCGAGATTGTGCCACTGCACTCCAGCCTTGATGACAGAGCAAGACTCCGTCTCAAAAAAATAAATAATAAACATTATATGTTATAGCATTCCAACAACAAAAAAAATTGAATGTGTATTTATGTGTTTCTAAAATATAAGGACTTTTTTTTTTTTTTTCTCTTGAGACACAGTTTCACTCTGTCACCCAGGCTGGAGTGAAACCTTGTCTTGAAAAAAAAAAAGCCGGGCGCGGTGGCTCAAGCCTGTAATCCCAGCACTTTGGGAGGCCGAGGCGGGTGGATCACAAGGTCAGGAGATCGAGACCACAGTGAAACCCCGTCTCTACTAAAAATACAAAAAATTAGCCGGGTCCTAGCTACTCAGGAGGCTGAGGCAGGAGAATGGCGTGAACCCGGAGGCGGAGCTTGCAGTGAGCCGAGATCGCGCCACTGCACTCCAGCCTGGGCAACAGCGTGAGACTCCGTCTCAAAAAAAAAAAAAAAAAAAAAAAAAAAGGCATAAATTTAAAAATATTTGTTTAGCTCAAGATCGAAATAAGATCTCTATATTGAGATCTGTTGGTATGTAAAATCTGTGTATTTATTTATTTATTTGGCTCGATCTCAGCTCACTGCAACCACCGCCTCCCAGGTTCAAGCAACTCTCCTGCCTCAGCCTCCTGAGTAGCTAGGATTATAGGCACCCACCACTACACCGGGCTAATATTTTTGTATTTTTAGTAGAGATGGGATTTCACCATGTTGGCCAGGCTGGTTTTGAACTCCTGACCTCAAGTGATCCGTCTGCCTCAGCTTCCCAAAGTGCTGGGATTACAGGCGTGAGCCACCACGCCCGGCGATTCTGTGTTCTTTAAACCACGTATGTCTGTGCTTTTTTGTTCTAGAAGCTTCATGTAAACCGATACAGAGGAGCAGAGATGACATCCCCAGCTGGCCCTCTATACTGAGTTTGAGCTCATTTGTCCCGCAAGTTGACAAAACCATTCCTAAATGAGACCTGTGCTATGGCAGCAGCAGTTTTTGTTGTTTGGTTTAGAGACAGGGACTCGCTCTGTCGCTCAGGCTGGGATTACAGGCGTGAGCCGCTGTGCCAGCTGCTTCATTGCTTTTGACACGGACATATTTTTCCAGACCTCCTGGCACCTTGGAGTTTAATCCAGGAACTTTGTCCAGGCTGTAACCAAAGACTTTGTGTTGAGATAAGAGAAATTTTATTACTCTCTTGAGTTGAAGCAATTAACTAGATAATGATTACAGCTGTATACACGGAGAACAGAGAAGAGGCGGATGCAGTGAGCCAGAAGCGAGAAGATGATGGTGGGCAGGACCCGGGGAAGGTGCTGGGGAGGAGGAGGAGAAGTGGGTGGAATGAGACCTGGGATTCCCTCCCAGGAATTGGGATTGGAGGGATGGTAGGGAGCAGTGCTGAAGTTCCAGGCAGTTGCCACGCCAGACCCTATCCATGAGTGGCAAACTCAAATGCCTACAGACCAGGCAAGAAATAGGAATAAGTGAAATAGATGGAAGACGGGTTGGTGGGGACTTTGGTGAAGTAGAAATGCATGACCCTCTGTCAAGTAGCTTTTGTTGTATTAAAAAACACGGCCAGGTGCGGTGTCCTCACCCCTGTAATTCCCAGCACTTTGGAAGGCCGAGGTGAGTGGATCACTGGAGGCCAGGAGTTTGAGACCAGCCTGGCCAACATAGTGAAACCCCATCTTTTTTTTTTTTTTTTTTTTTTTTTTTTTTTTTTTTGAGACGGAGTCTCACGCTGTCGCCCAGGCTGGAGTGCAGTGGCGCGATCTCGGCTCACTGCAAGCTCGCTCCTGGTTCCGCCATTCCTGCTCACCCTGAGTACTGGATACAGGCCCGCACCGCCCGCTATTTTTTTTTTTTAGAGACGGGTTCACTGGTCTCATCCCTGCCTTTGTCCGCCCCCTCGCCCCAGTCTTACAGCTGGCCCCGCCCGGCCCCATCTTATTAATAATACAAAAATTAGCCAGGCATGGTGGCACATGCCTGTAATCCCAGCTGCTCGGGAGGCTGAGGTAGAATTGCTTGAACCTGGGAGGTGGAGGTTGCAGTGAGCCACGGCCGCACCACTGCACTCCAGCCTGGGAAACAGAGTGAAACTGTTTCAAAAACAAAAAAACAAAAAAACAGGCCGGGCACAGTGGCTCACGCCTGTAATCCCTGCACTACGGGAGGCTGAGGCGGGTGGATCACCTGAGGTCAGGAGTTCGAGACCAATCTGGCCAACATGATGAAACCCTGTCTCTACTAAAAATACAAAAAAAATTAGCCAGGCGTGGTGGCAGGCGCCTGTAATCCCAGTTACTCAAGAGGCCTGAAACAGGAGAATCACTTGAACCCAGGAGGCAGAGGTTGCAGTGAGCAGAGATTGTGCCACTGAACTCCAGCCTGGCAACAAAGCGAGACTCCATTTCAAAAAAAAGAAAAGAAACTTGAGCCCAGCTTACAGCTAGTTTGTACATCATGCTGGTACCACTCAAAAGTGGACAATGGCAGCATTACAACCTCCCTTAGGGATGAACCTGAAGGGCAGTGGTCAGAACTTCATGCAGGTTGGGTGTGGTGGTGCACACCTGTAGTCCCAGCTACCTCGGAGGCTGAGGCGGGAGAATCGCTTCAACCCGGGAGGTGGAGGTTGCAGTGAGCTGAGATTGTGCCACTGAACTCTGCCTGAGCAACAGAGCGAGACTCTTCTCAAAAAAAAAGAATTTCATGCTGCACATTTAGTTGTCCAGTATGCCTGCAGGGAGAAGTGGCCGGAAGTATAGATCCATACTAATTTATGGGCAGTTGCTAATGGTTTGGGTGGATGGTCAAGTACGTGGAAGGAAGAAGACTGAAAGATTAATGACAAGGAAGCTTGGAGAAGTAAATGGATGGGCCTCTCAGACTCTGCACAGACTGTGAAGATATTTGTGTCCTATAGGGGTGCCCACCCAAAGGCAGCCACTGCAATGAAAATTCCTTTTTTTTTGAGATGGAATCTTCCTCTGTTGCCCAGGTTGGAGTACAATGGCACAATCTTGGCTCACTGCAACCTCTGCCTCCCAGGTTGAAGTGATTCTCCCAACTCAATCTCCCAAGTAGCTAGGACTACAGGCGCCTGCCACCACACGTGGCTAATTGTTGTATTTTTAGTAGAGACAGGGTTTCATCATGTTGGCCAGGCTGGTCTCAAACTCCTGACCTCAGGCAATCCACCCGCCTCAGCCTCCCAAAGTGCTAGGATTACAGGCGTGAGCCACCGCACCCAGCCAAAAATTTTTGTTTTTTTGAGACAGAGTCTCGCTCTCTCGCCCAGGCTGGAGTGCGGGTGGTACAATCTCGGCTCACTGCAAGCTCCACCTCCCAGGTTCACGCCATTCTCCTGCCTCAGTCTCCCAAGTAGCTGGGACTACAGGCACCTGCCACCACGCCCGGCTAATTTTCTGTATTTTCAGTAGAGATGGGGTTTCACCGTGTTAGCCAGGATGGTCTCCATCTCCTGACCTCATGATTCACCCGCCTCGGTCTCCCAAAGTGCTGGGATTACAGGCGTGAGCCACTGTGCCTGGCCCAACAATTCTTAAGGATCAGGCAGACAAGATGACACTTGTGTACATGAGAGTCAGGCTCTTTTCCCAGCCACCCTAATGCTTGCTCAATGAGTCCATGAACAAAGTGGTCATAGTGGCAAAGATGGATGCTATGCATGGGTTCAGCAACATCAGCTTTCCCTTGCCATGGCTGTCCTGGCTACTGTTACTGCTGAGTGCCTAATCTGCCAACACCAGAGACCAACACTGAGCCCCAATATGGCACCATTCCCTGGGGATCAGTCTGCTACCTGGTGGCGAGTTGATTACCTTGGACCTCTTCCGTCATAAAGAGGGCAAAGATTTGTCCTCACTGGAATAGACAGATATCCGGAACATGAACTTCCTTCCCTGCCTTTAATGTGTTTGTTGTCACCACCATCTGCAGACTCAAAGCATGCTCATCCACCATCATGGCATGCCACACAGCATTGCCTCAGAACAAGAAATCCATCTGAGGCTGGGTGCGGTGGCTCACACCTGTAATCCCAGCACTTTGGGAGGCTGAGGTGGGAGCATCACTTGAGACCATGAGTTTGAGACCAGTTTGGGCAACATAGTGAGACCCTGTCTCTACTAAGAATACCAAAAAAATTAAGCGAGCATAATGGTACGCACCTGTAGTGTCCCAGTTACTTAAGAAGCTGAGTTGAGAGGATCACTTTGGCCGAGGAGATCAAGGTTTCAGTGAGCTATGATGGTGCCACTGCACCCCAGCCTGAGTGACAGACCAAGACCTTATTAAAAAAAAAAAAAAAAAATCATTTGAAAGTGAAGGAAGTGCAGCAATGGGCTCCTGCCTATGGAATCTTATAGAATCTTACTATCTTCCCCATCACCCAGAAGCAACCGGCCTAACTGAACGGTAGAATGAGTCAGCAATGACTCCATTAAAGTACCAACTGGGAAACAATACCCTGCAAAAATGGGATTGTCTTACAGGACATGGCCTGTGCTTTGCATGAGAGACCTCTCTATCACGTTTCCCCATAGTGAGAATTTATGGGACTGGGAGTCAGGGAGAAAGTGAGTAGAAATGGTTCCTCTCTCTGTTACGCACAATAACTTGAAGAATCGCTTCCCTCCTCAATAGCTTTGAGCTCTGCTAGTTTAGAGATTTTGGTCCGCATGGAGAGGAATGCTTCCACTGAGCACACAATGGATCCAAGAACTGGGAGATAAGACTTCCACCTGAACATTTTGAGGTCCTTGTGTCACTGAACCAACAGGCAAATAAATAAATAAATAAATAAATAAAATAAAGAAAAGAAAAGAAAAAGAGGCCGAGCACAGTGGCTCACGCCTGTAATCCCAGCACTTTGGGAGGCCGGGGCAGATGGATCGGTCAGGAGTTTGAGACCATCCTGGCCAACATGGTGAAACCTCGTCTCTACTAAAATACAAAAAACTAGCCAGGCATGGTGTCATGCACCTGTAGTCCCAGCCGCTCAGGAGGCTGAGGCAGGGGAATCACTTGAACCCTGGGTAGGAGGCGGAGATTGTAGTGAGCTGAGATCGTGCCACTGCACTCCAGCCTGGTGACAGAGCAAGACTGTCTCAAAAAAAAAAAAAAAAGAGAAAAGAAAAAGAAAAAGAAAATTAAGACAGTCAAAACCATGGTATTAACTTTGTTTTTTTGTTTTTGTTTTTTGTTTTTTGAGACCGAGTCTTGCTGTCACCCAGGTTGGAGTGCAATGGCACGATCTCAGCTCACTGCAACCTCCACCTTCCAGGTTCACGCCATTCTCCTGCCTCAGCCCCCTGAGTAGCTGGGACTATAGGCACCCGCCATCATGCCTGGATAATTTTTTGTATTTTTAGTCGAGACAGGGTTTCACTGTGTTAGCCAGGATGGTCTCCATCTCCTGACCTCGTGATCCGCCCGACTTGGCCTCCTAAAGTGCTGGGATTACAGGCACAAGCCAACGCGCCAGGCCTAACTTTGTTTTTTTTTTTGTTTGAGATGGAGTCTCGCTCTGTTGCCCAGGCTGGAGTGCAATGGCGTAATCTCCGCTCAGTGCAACCTCCACCTCCCAGGTTCAAGTGATTTTCGTGCTTCAGCCTCCCAAGTATCGGGGATTACAGGCACACGCTTGGCTAATTTTTGTATTTTTAATAGAGACAGGGTTTTGCCATGTTGGCCAGGCTGGTCTTGAACACCTGACCTCAGGTGATCCACCCGCTTTGGCCTCCCAAAGTGTTGGGATTACAGGCGTGAGCCACTGCGCCCGGCCCCCGTGGTATTAACTTTGTGTTAAGAGAATCTGTGGATACTTGGTATTTTAAGAATCTGTAATATTTAAGGCAAACTGGCCTATTCAAACGACAGGTCAATCTTGTAATTCCATTGTAAAATGTGGAATTCAGTTGGTGACTAAGACTTACTTGAAATCTGTTTATGTACAGTTTATGAATTTTTGATTCATAAATTTTTGAAGAGTCGGGGGGTGGTAGCTGTATCCAGCACTTGGAGGCGAGACGGGGTACGAGGAGGGATCAGACATCTGGTAACGTGAAACGTCTCTAAAAAATAAAAAACTAGGGGATGGCGTATAGTCCACTACACAGAGCTGAGAGAATCGTAACCGGACAGCTTGCATGAGCTGAGATCCGCATCATCAGGCGACAGAGCAGTCTCAAAAAAAAAAAAAAAAAAAAAAAGAATTGAAGAGTCATCTGTTCATCTGGTAAGTCAGCCTACTTTGGCTTTTTTTTTTTTTTTTCTGAGACAGAATCTCACTCTGTCACCCAAGCTGGAATATAGTGGTGCAATCTTGGCTCACTGCAGCCTCTGCCTCTTGTTTTCAAACGATTTTTGTGCCTCAGCCTCCCAAGTAGCTGGGATTACAGGCACCCGGGACTACACCTGGCTAATTTTAGTATTTTTAGTAGAGACAGGGTTTTGTCATGTTGACCAGGCTGGTCTTGAACTCCCAGCCTCAAGTGATCCACCTACCTTGGTCTCCCAAAGTGCTAGGATTACAGGCGTGAGCCACCACGCCTGGCCCTACTTGTGGCTCTTAAATGGAAAAACCTAACATTAAATTTACAAGCATAGTTTGAAAGTGTTAAAGGAATTTAATAGTTATAAAACCCCTCTTTAAAAGAGACTGTGGCTAGAAGTGGTGGTTTGGGCGTGTAATCCCAGCACTTTCGAAGGCCAAGGCGGGCAGATCACCTGAGGTCGGGAGTTTGAGACCAGCCTGGCCAACATGGTGTAACCCTGTCTCTACTAAAAAATACAGAAATTAGCCGGGTGTGGTGGCGGGTGCCTGTAATCCCAGCTACTTTGGAGGCTGAGGTACAAAAATTGCCCAAACCTGGGAGGCAGAAGGTTTCAGTGAGCCAAGGTCATACCACTGTACTCCAAGGTGTGCAACAGAGCAAGACTGTCTAAAATAAATAAATAAATAAATAAATAAATAAATAAGACAGATTGTTAAAAACCTTTTAGAAGCTGGGTGTAGTGGCTCATACCTCTAATTCCACCACTTTGGGAGATAGAGGTGGGAACATTACTTGGAGGAGTTGGAGACCACCCTGGGCAACACTGTAAGACGCTGCCTCAAAAACAAACAAACATTGTCTATTGGCTGGGTGCGGTGGCTCATGCCTGTAATCCCAGCACTTTGAGAGGTCAAGGCTAGCGGATTTCTCATGCTCAGGAGTTTGAGACCAGCCTGGACAACATGGTGAAACCCAGCCTCTACAAAAAAACACAAAAATTAGTTGGGCATGGTGGTATGCACCTGTAAGTCCCAACCACTCAGGAGGCTGAGGCAGGAGGATCGCTGAACCCAGGAGGTCGAGGCTGCAGTGAGCTATGATCACACCACTGTACTCCAGCCTGTGCAACAGAGCAAAACCCTGTCTGAAAAGAAAAAAAAAAAGAAGAAAAAAGAAAACCTTTTAGACTAGGCCAGGATCTTTCCTGGTTGCTAAAACCATTAGGACAACTGTGCCGCACCCCGCTGCCTGCCAGAATTAGAGAGCTATAAATACATATGATGTGTTTCTTAGGGTAACATAGAATACCGTTTCACCCCCAAGGACTTCAGCTTATGTTTCCTAAAAACAAGGTCATTTAACGTCTCAACAAATCTCCGAGAAAGATCCTGCCTTAGCCCTCACATTACAGATACGGAAACAGGCTCGGAGGTGCAATCTCTGGCTGTGTAGACAGAACAGGGAGTTGGAACTCGGCCTTATGCCTTTCCCTCCTCACTCTCACATACCAGCGGGCAGGAAGAGATCCAGGGAGGAGTTGCACTTGCCCCCCCGGAAATCTCCAAAAATCTGCAAAAACGGATTCCCTGGTGCCGCTTTCCGCTCCTGTCCCAACAGAAATTCCGAGACCGAAAGGGGTGCGCGTTGCGGCCCGGGGTGAGGGTCTGGACCGCTTCCTCCTCGGTGGACAAATCGAGTAGCGGGACTCCCCCCACCCCAGCCCCAGCCCCGCCGCGTCCCCAGCTGTCACGCTGCGCGCAGCGGGCGGGGTCTGGAGTTCCTGGACAGGAGAGGGCCATGCGTGTCCTTGGGCGGAGAGGGGAGGTGACTCCGGCGGAAGAGGACGAGGCAGAATGCAGGCCCTGCGGGTGAGGCCCCCACGGGCTGGGCCGGGGCCCCCCACCCAGAAAACCCCGCCCTAATACGCGACTCTCCAAGTACCCCCGCATCTGGGGCCTTGGAACGTGAGCCCCCTTCAGGGCCTGGGACTCCCCGCTAAACAACCTGGGTCCCCTCCCCCACAATCCACTCTTCAGAGACAACTGGGGACCCCCACTCCAGCCCAAAGCCCCGCGTTTGAACTTAACATCTCGGGAACCCTTAACACCGGAAACGGAAACGTAACATCCTGGCCTCACCCAGGGCTTCTCAGGCAGCCTGGACGCTCCCGGGACCTCCATTCCGGTCCCCACGTTCCCGGGACCTGGTTTCCTCCCTTTAATCCAGGAAACCCTCCCCCGACAAAAATCTCAGGTCTTAGACCCCACAGAACAAAGTCCTTCTGGGTCCTCTCCCTTCCAGGACCCTCTAGGCAGCCCGGTCACCTCCAGGTCAGACTCTAGGGCGAGTCCCCTCCTCACCCAGGCTGGCAGTTCGCGGGTAATAAAATCCAAGTTATCACCCTCCTCGCCTTTGGGACGGTCGCTAGGGATGGGGCTGTCCCCACGTCCAGGTCTCAGAGAACGGGGTCCCCCTTCAGGACACCCCTCCAGGTGCCTCCAATACCCGCCCACCTCCCACCCCACAGGTCTCCCGGGCACTGATCCGCTCCTTCAGCTCCACCGCCCGGAACCGCTTCCAGAACCGAGTGCCCGAGAAACAGAAGCTCTTCCAGGTGGGCTGGGCGGGGCTGGGGGTGGGGGGATCCGACGCGCCGACGCGCAGAGCACGGGGCAGGCGGGGCGCCCTCAAGGGAGCAGCCGGCACCCTTCTCATCAGACACCCCCACATCCAGGAGGACAATGACATCCCGTTGTACCTGAAGGGCGGCTTCGTTGACAACATCCTATACCGAGTGACAATGGCGCTGGGTCTGGGAGGTGAGCGCAGGGCACAACCCGGCCGAGCTGCCGGGGAGGCGGGGCTGGACCCAGGGTAGGAGGCGGCTGGTTTCTGGCCAGGACTGACCAGGATCTGGGTTGGGGGTTGGCGTTTAGGAAGGGGGTGGAGTACTGAGCTGGAGGGAGGGGAGTAATAGGGCTTGGGCTCGTGTCCCAGGATGGGGGCTGGGCTAGTAGTGGGACTGAGGCCCAGGGAGGAGTTGGGGAGGAAGCTCCCAGCCTGATCTAGATCAACGCCAGGGGCCTTTACAATAGGAGTCCAATCTGGGAAGGGAGCTGGAGCCCAAACTAGAGCTGGGGTCCAGGCTGGAACTCCGGAGTCTGAAGAAGGCCTTAAAAGCCCGGGATGTCCAGGGAGGGGATTAGGTCTCATTCTGTCTCCTTCGCTTCCCCTTTCTAGGCTCTGTCTACAGCCTGTACTGCCTTGGCTGGGCCTCCTTCCCCAGGAATTAAGACCAGGAAGCCTGGGGGGCCTGAGGGACTTGAACAAGTGTCAATAAACGCTGGCCTCTGTGTGTGTGTGTATGTGTGTGTCCACCCCTTCCCCGCCAAGCCCATACTCCCACCAGCCAGCGATCTCTGCCTTGTGGACTGCGCACTACTCCCAGCCCTCAGTGCCTCACACTGGACCAGGGCTACTCCTAGGATGTCGCTGCCTCTGGGCCCTCTGCTGGGTACCCCAAACAGCACACATAGGCTGCCCCTCGGGACCCGCGGACATGGGGTGGTGTCCTCAAGTGGGAAGGAAGACACTGACCATGGTCCATGACACAACAGAGGCAGAGGCCTCTGTTGTGGATGGAGAAGCTGCAAGAGGGGCAAACATGGCCTTGGGAGACAGGGCCAGGAGTGGTATTAAGGCCTCCCTCCAGCCCGGACTCTGGAAGCAGAAGCAGAGATCACGGGGCCTTCTGGGTCCTGTCTCAGCCTCCACAGCTCAGGATGAGAAAAAAAAATACAGATAAGAAAAAGACAAGGAGATCCACAGATCCAGCCCTGGGGATGAATCTACGACCTCCCCAGTTCCCCAGGACCCAGAGCCCAAGCTCCTCCCTCCTCTCTCAGATCAGATCAGGAGGCAGATCGCATAGAGATCAGCAACCAGGTCATGTTTATTTCCTCCTGGGCCTGGCAGTCTGGGAGCAGAATATAGACAAAGGCACTGGGGCGCCTGGGTCTGGCACGGTCTGGAGCTTGGCCGCCTGGGTGGCAACTATGAAGGGTGTGCCAGGGCGTGCAGGGACTGGAGTCATCCTCCCAGAACCGAGAGAGGGCCCTCTGGGCATGGAGGCATCACAAATGGTAGGCTTGGCACAGATACAGGGGAGAGGTTACGGAGCGGGTGTGTGCAGGGCCTGGTGGGAGTGGGGAGACCCTTGGACAGAGCTTGTTAGAGTGTTCTAGAGTCAAGGGAAACTCCAGGCAGGCATATTGGGCCCTGGATGTTGAGAAGCTGGGTAACAAGTGCTGGGAGAACAAAAGCTGTGGGTCGGCAGGCCCCACAAAGATGTGACTGCAGACAGGATGGGCCCTGGGAGAGACCGAGGCTCCAGGTGACTCCTATAGCGAGGCGGTGAGGGGGTGGGTCTGGGGCTCCAGTTCAGGAATACATAGTCAGCTGCAGCCACTGGGGAGAGGAGGGTGGAGAGTGAGGACAGGGAACCCCAGAGCACCAGCCCCTCTGCCCTCACCCAGGGACTGCTGGCAAAATAGGAGGGAGGGGACTGCAGCTCAGAGCTGGTATGAAGGGCCAAGGGGTGGGGTCCCCCCAGGCACCCGTACCCCAAGATGGGGGTTCTTACCTCCTGGATGTTCACCTGGATTTGTCCAGTGCCATCTTTGTCAAGAGATTTGAAGGCACCTGGAGGAGGAGATGGGGAGATTTAGGGGTAGGGAAGGAAGGAGACTGGTTTTTAGCATAATAACATTACACAAATATATGGGATGACAATAATAGCAGCTGGTACTTCACCGAGTATTTACTGTGTGCCCAGCTGTGGGGAAAAGAGAGATCAGCCTGTTACTGTGTTTATATAGAAAGAAGTAGACATGGCCGGGCGCGGTGGCTCAAGCCTGTAATCCCAGCACTTTGGGAGGCCGAGGCGGGCGGATCACAAGGTCAGGAGATCGAGACCACAGTGAAACCCCGTCTCTACTAAAAATACAAAAAATTAGCCGGGCGCGGTGGCGGGCGCCTGTAGTCCTAGCTACTCAGGAGGCTGAGGCAGGAGAATGGCGTGAACCCAGGAGGCGGAGCTTGCAGTGAGCCGAGATCGCGCCACTGCACTCCAGCCTGGGCAACAGCGTGAGACTCCGTCTCAAAAAAAAAAAAAAAAAAAAAAAAAGAAAGAAGTAGACATAAGAGACTCCATTTGGTTCTGTATTTGAGATGCTGTTAATCTGTGACCCTACCCCTAACCCTGTCCTTGCAAGAGATATGTGCCGTGGTGACTCAAGGTTTAACAGATTTCGGGCTGTGCAGGGTGTGCTTTGTTTAACAAGTGCCTGAAGGCAGCTTGCTGGTTAAAAGTCGTCAACATTCGTTAATCTCAAGTATCCAGGGACACATACACTGTGGAAAGTCACAGGGACCTCTTCCTAGGAAAGCTAGGTATTGTCCAAGGTTTCTCCCCATGTGATAGTCTGAAATAAGGCCTTGTGGGAAGGGAAAGACCTGAGCGTCCCCCAGCCTGACACCCGTGAAGGGTCTGTGCTGAGGAGGACTAGTACAAGAGGAAAGAAGGCCTTTTGGCAGTTGAGATAGAGAAAAGCATCTGTCTCCTGCCCGTCCCTGGGCAATGGAACATCTCGGTGTAAAACCTGATTGTATGTTCTATTTACTGAGAAAGGAGAAAACCTCCTTAGGGCTGAAGGTGGGACGGGGGCTAGCTAGCGGCAATGCTGCTCTTTATGCACTACAAAGGTTTACGGAGATGTTTGCATATGCATATCAAGGCACAGCACTTTTCCTTAAACTTATGTCACAGAGATCTTTATTCATATGTCTCACTGCTGACCTTCTCCCTATATGATCCTATTATCCTGCCACTTCCCTTCTTCTCAGATGGTAAAGATAATGATCAATAAATACTGAGGGAACTCAGAGACGGTGCCGGCGCGGGTCCTCTGTATGCTGAGCGCCGGTCCCCTGCGCCCACTTTTTCCTTCTCTATACTTTGTCTCTGTGTCTCATTTCTTTTCTTAAGTCTCTCGTTCCACCTAACGAGAAACGCCCACAGGTGTGGAGGGGCAGGCCACCCCTTCACCCAGCTCAGTGTAAAGTGCTTTCCAGGTATTAGCTCATTTAATCCAACTCTGTGAGATAAGTGTCATTTTAAAATGAAGCACAGGCTGGGCATGGTGGTTCACACCTGTAATCCCAACACTTTGGAAGGCCGAGATGGGAGGATCAATTGAGCCCTAATCTGGGCAACAGACACCTCATCTCTGTTTTTTAAAAAAACTAAAAACTAAGAAAAGGAAAAGAAAAAAAAAAAATGAGGCAGAGAAGGGAGGGGCCATGCCCTAGGTCACACAGCAAGAAAGTGAAGAAATGAGGATTGGAATCCAAGCTATTACCCTCCTCAATAATGGCTTCTGTGTACTGATATCACCTCTGCCCAGCCCCAGCCTCCTACTGACATCTATGCTCCATCCTCTCCAGTTCCAAGACTAACAGGCTACTAGAGGGAGGCTCTGCACTCTCTACTTCCTGCCCCTAGAGTCTTACAGGTAGGTCCCCACATCTGCCCTGAAACTTCACTCCATGTTCCCCACCCACAGGGAATCTAGACACAATGACTACACTATCATCACTCAGTTACCACAACCCTCAGGTGTCCACACCCACAGCGTCCTGCACTCCCTGGCTGCCTTTTGTTTTTTTTTTTTTTTGAGACAGAGTCCCACTGTGTCGCCCAGGCTGGAGTGCAGTGGCACAATCTTGGCTCACTGCAACCTCTGCCTCCCAGGTTCAAGTGATTCTCCGGCCTCAGCCTCCTGAGTAGCTGGGACTATAGGCGTGCACCACCACACCCAGCTAATTTTTTTGTATTTTTAGTAGAGACGGGGTTTCACTATTTTGGCCAGGCTGGCCTCAAACTCCTGACATCAGGTGATCTGCCCACCTTGGCGTCCCAAAGTGCTGGGATTACAGGAGTGAGCCACGATGTCTGGCCCTCATTTTTTTTTTTTTTTTTTTTTTTGAGACAATGTCTCTGTGGCCCAGGCTGGAGTCCAGTGTCAAGATCATAGCTCACTGCAGCCTCACCCTCCCGGGCTCAAGTGATCCTCCCACCTCAGCCTCCCGAGCAACTGAGACCACAGGCATGTGCCACCACGCCCGGCTACTTTTTTTTTTTTTGTAGAGATGGGGTCCTACTATGTTGCCTGGGCTGGTCTCAAACTATTAGCCTTCTTGCTGGTAGATCCAGTGTCTATTTTTTTTTTTTTTGTAGAGATGGGGTCTTACAATGTTGCCCGGGCTGGTCTCAAACGATCCTCCTGACTATCAGCCTTCTTGCTGGTAGATCCAGTGGCTATTTCCTGGCCCTTCTTATGTGACTTTTGGCCTCATCTCCCCTTTCTGTCCACTTTCTTCACCTCCCTGCTATCTCACATACCTGCTTCTTTTCCTCTGTCACTCTTCATGCATTGTCCTGGCCATGAGATCTTTCTTTCTTTTTTTTCTTTTTTGAGATGGAGTCTCGCTCTTGTCACCCAGGCTGGAGGCTGGAGTGCAATGGCATGATCTCTGCTCATTGCAACCTCCGCTTCCTGGGTTCCAAGCAATTCTCCCTCCCTAAGCTTCCTGAGTAGCTGGGATTACAGGCATGCCCCTACGCCCGGCTAATTTTTGTGTTCTTAGTAGATATGGGGTTTCGCCATGTTGGCCAGGCTGGTCTTGAACTCCTGACCTCAGGTGATTCTCCTGCCTCGGCCTCCCAAAGTGCTGGGATTATAGGCGTGAGCCACTGTGCCCGGCCTGGAGGCCGAGGGATCTTTCTTTTTTTTTTTTGAGACGGAGTCTCGCTCTGTCACCCAGGCTGGAGTGCAGTGGTGCAATCTCAGCTCACTGCAAGCTCTACCTCCCAGGTTCACGCCATTCTCCTGCCTCAGCCTCCCGAGTAGCTAGGACTACAGTTGCCCACCACCACACCCGGCTAATTTTTTGTATTTTTAGTAGAGATGGGGTTTCACTGTGTTAGCCAGGATGGTCTCGAACTCCTGACCCTCATGATCCGCCCACCTCGGCCTCCCAAAGTTCTGGGATTATAGGCATGAGCCACCGTGCCCGGTAAGGCCAAGGGATCTTTCTAAAGCCAAATCTGACCCTGTCCCTCCCTCTGCCTAGAACCTGCAATGGCTCCCCAATGTCCCTGGTAGAGTCTGAGCACCCCCAAATTTTGCACCCACAATCCTGCATGACCTAATCATGTCCACTGCTCCTAACTTCTCTTACTTAGCTCAGATCTCTGACAGATCCAAGTTCAAATTCCGGCTTTGCAACTTCCTA